GGGTGATTAGTAGAGTCTTGGGTTGTTGGGAATAGCTGACATGTGAGGAGATGGGATTTCAAAGAAGATTCTTGAAGCGTTGATGTTGCTGGATTTAGACCCAGCATGCAGGGACTTGTGCTTTGATGTTGGTTCTGTTAGGCAATGGAAAGTGGGGTGTTGTTGGCTTTGGGCTTGTGTGGTGCACTGATTTAAACCTTCTTAGCGGGTACACTGTATGTTTGGACTACTTTACTGTAGCAGGGGTCTCGGTCCATGACTGGACTTTTCCACTGATGTGACTTCCAGATCCGAAACCAAAAGTCATCATTCTTATCTTCATAAAGCTGCCAGTAGAGATGCGATACGAACAGTGTGCCCCGCACTATTGAATCAAATAAAAATGCAACTCTTATGATCTCACCAAGTTAACATGCTAACTGCATACAGATTATACAGTATCATGGGAAGTGAATGACACAAGTTTTTCTTCCAGCTCAAGAGTGTACTTTCAAAACTTTCTAAAACGCACTCTCTGTTCCCATTGAAATACATTGTAAATAGTTTAACAAGAACACAAAAGACGACTCTATTCCTACAAAAATGGATACGAATCCCCATTTTTCAGATCATGCGTGCCATCTTGACGATCACTAAAAGAAATTACCATATTTTAGTCAATAAATGACCCAATGATACATGGAAATCCAGGATTAGATACAGCAGGCGTGCACCGTATCCATGCGCATTACTGGGTTATGAGACAGTGTTTATTATACCGTATGCTAATTATTGTAGTTTGAAACAGAATAGCACTGTGTAACCACCGCATCAAATATGGCCCTGTCATGTTTTTAAGGAGCCCACAGTTAAAAATAAAAATAATAATAAAAACAAAATACTGTAGCGGATGACTGCAAAGTACACAGCTACCATCATAAACATCTTTTAAATATTATGTGAGTGTGCCAATAATGGAAAACAAAAACAACAACAACAAAAAACTGAATAACCATATTTGTAATGGCTAAATTTTGGATAAAAGACCATCAGATTTTTTTAAAAATGTGCAGATCGATGGTTGTGGCCTGTGAGTGTCTATTAAAAGAATGCATTCGATTGCACCGTTTCGATGCAACCCCGTCAAGTGGAATGGGTCTGTCCTTCAGTCATACCTTGACAGTGGATGTCAAGCATAGGGAGAAGAGAAGCTAATGACAGACAAACATTGAATAGCGTACATATTGACACATATGTATTCGTTATTTTTATAAAGTAACACAATTCACAAGTCTTTCATATTATGAAATTGCTTGTTGTCGTTCTGGGATGTGAGAGGATCTCTTTGTATAGAATGATGCCCAAATGCTACGCATGTGATTGTGCACATACACACACGCAGATACAGTGATGCAACCTAACGGCAACAACCGAGGCAGCAGCACCCAGACGATAATTACTCGTGCGGCCTGAAGAAAGTGTGCATGGACTGATGTGGTGTATGAGGGGCTGTTAGTAAAGCCCTCATACGCAATACTCAAAGGCTCTCACGTTGATTCGCCACACTCTCACACTCGCATGGTTCAGGATTAACTCTCACTCACTTGTGAAATGCTCTCACACATACTAGTCAAACTCTATCACATGCACTTGTCTAACGCTCTCACACACACTTTTCAAACGGTCTCAAGTGCACTTGTCAAGTGCTCTCACACACAATACACGCTCTCACACACACATGTCAAACACTCTCACACACACTAGTTAAAGACTTTCACACACATTGCTAAATGCTCCCTCACAGGTAGACAGCAGTCAAAAGCTCTCAAACAACCTGTCAAACACTCTCACAATACCGTTGCTTACTACACATCCTGACCATGATTTTAATTTAATTGTATTTGCTGGGTTACCAATACTGTTTGTGTAGTATATATTTCGACACACAAACTATGTTCTAAGAGTTGTAAGAGTGTTTGACAAGTGTGTGTGTGTGTGTGTGTGTGTGTGTGTGTGTGTGTGTGTGTGTGTGTGTGTGTGTGAAAGCTTTGACTAGTGTGTGTGAGAGCATTTGACAAGTGTGTGTGAGAGCGTTTGACAGGTGCCTGTGAAAACTTGACAGATTCATGTGAGTGTATAACTTGTGTGTGAGGGCTAATTCTGAATTTAGTTATGTGCGTGAGTGTTTTATTAGTTTGTGTGAGAGCCTTTGAGTATCGAGTATGGGCAGAAAACATTTCAGTCGTGTGTATTAGAGCTTTTACGCAGTAAGTGTGAAAGGTGATCCTGAATTTTGTCCCAAACAACCCCTCATCGAGATGAGAGGAGGCTCCACAGGGAGGTGGCATAAGGCCTTAAAGATACAAACAGCAAGATTTTTGACAAACTTTGTCAGGCTCGACAGGATGCTGGCACAGGGGTCACAGCAAAGTAGAGTCAGAAACTCAGCAGATGGCAGCCTGCAGCACCACCTCGATACAGTACAAGCTGGCACCCAAGCCAAGAAAAAAAATGCCTCTAAGGAGGGTGGCAAAAGCTTGTGTGTTGAACTTTTCAGGTCTTGGCATTTGGAGGGAGCTGTGGACAAAAAAGAGCAGCTACGGTGAATCCCCGTTTAGTGCAGATGATAGATTTGAGACCCACCTGTGAATGCGCAGGGGAAGAAAATGCAAGTATAGTGAGAGCCCCCAAATCATTTTTTTTCTGGGTGTGGCACTCATTTAATCAGAACTTTTTTTTCTTTTGTTGTTACCTTTTACCTTCACTGCCAATACAAAATATGACGAGCATCCGTTTTCTGTTCATTTGCAGCAAAGTAGCTCCGCTTCACATTATTCCATAAATTCAGCACTCCATCTTTGCATTGATTGTTCTGGCAGTCTTGACTTCTCTCAAAAGTTTTCTTTTTAATTTATATAAGCGCACAAGTCTGCACTCGGGTGCCCTTTCAAGGAGTTCAACGGAGTGCAACACTGACACACAACAAATGCTTTTCAGTTGTCATCACAAAAAGATAAGATTTTTTTTCCTCCATTTTAAGGATTACAGAGATAGTTTGCAATTCGATACTTCACTGTCAGTCAGTCAATTCATACTGTATCTTATACTGTATACGGTGAATGTCATGCTTTCCACACATACTATGAACACAGCAGCTAATGATTACATAATAGCCACACTGATTTTGCTCCATTTGATATTAGTCACCCTTGTAGGTGACATTTCACTTCATTTATTTTCCCCACATTAAAAAGGCCAACAGATGAAGGGGGAGCTTGGGGAAAATGTCACCATCAATGCACCCAAATTAGCATGTTCCAAATTCCCTGGCGAACGTTTGGCGACCGTGAACGAACCCCGGCGAGAATGCAGCATTTGCAACCTTCGCCAACACTTGCAAATGTATGATATCGTCATTAACGGTAGGGATGGGAATTGGATTTTTACAATTCCAATATCATTTTGGAGTCTGTTTAACGATTCAATTCTTTATGAATACTTTTTAGGAAAAAAAGGAGACGCCACAAGCAGATTGCTCATCCACTTTGTTTTATGTCTTCATTGTATCTGTAAATAAGATACACCCAACAGTGTGGTCTTCAGAGGCCCACGTCCTAGAATTCTGCGATGGGGTGCCATGGGGTCCCCAGAATTACAAAAAAAATAAATTAATGAAAAGTATAGAAACATATTTTTGTATATATTCTTCTGTAGAAACTTAGATTATTGCACTATAACATCCAGTAAGATTTCAAAACTCATATACAGTATGAGCACTCAAAAATATAAAATATAAAACAACACAATTGACTCAAGTCCAACTGTGATGGAAAAACTCCACTCGGCTGCCCGGTGGAAGGTGAAGCTAGCGGTTGACTGGACCGAGTACTTGTCAGCCTCTGAGCCAGGAAATGGCACTAAAGTTGTCACCTGGAGGACAGGAGCGCACGTGGTTACGTGACTGCTGCTGTTGGTTTGAGCACTCCAGAACAGATCAAAAGTCTCAAAAGTTATCGCACGCCGTGTTTGCAAATGCCTTTGCATATTGGTAGTGTTTCCTCCCTTTATAAGATTTGAGGCTTCAATGAAACAATAGGGGATATTTTGCGAACAATTGTCAAAAATAGTCTTTTTTTGCCACACCACTGTTATTCTTGCCCACTCGCAAGCAGTTACATAAATGGTTTCAATGCTCCACAACCCACTCAGTGTTTCACTGGGCACTGTGCAAGACAGATAATTCATGCATGTTTTTTTCTGTATGTCTCAAGGGTCTTAGTTGAAAATTAAATGAAATCCACTTGCAGAAAAGTTGGCGAACACATTTTTGTGCAGTGCAAATTAGATTTCTGAGCGGCTGGAGCTGGAGCAATGATTCTTGGGATGAAATTAAAAGCGCACGTTCATTGTTCTTGTTTTTTGTCACATCATGGACAGTGTGTGGACTTGACGACAACAGTAGCTTGAGAAAACAACAAAAATGTTCAAACCTGCAAAACAGCAACTTATGGAGATTTTGTTCATACTGTGATAGAGAAGAAAGAAAGGCTGATATTGCATCCATCCACCCGTTTTCTAATCCGCTCATCCTCACGAGGGACGCGGGTGTGCTGGAGCCTATCCCAGCAGTCTTCGGGCAGTAGGCGGGGGACACCCTGAACTGGTTTCCAGCCAATCGCAGGGCACACAAAGAAAAACAACCATTTTCGCTCACAAGCGCACCTAAGGACAACTTAGTGCGCTCCATTAAACTGCCATGAGTGTTCTGGGATTGTGGGAGGAAACCGGAGTACCCGGAGAAAACCCGCACAGGAAGGCCGGTGCCGGAATCAAACCCTGCACCTCTGCATCGTGAGGCGGACGTGCTAACCAGTCGCCCACCGGTCTGCCGGGCTGATATTTCAAGAGTTTAAATATGATGCCGAGAAAACAGTGTATCATTTCTGCATCAGTATTTATGGTGAGTATATTGTATTGCTTGAGCGCCAACAGAAATCCTAACAAATGACGAAGACACCGAGTTCTGACAAATGCTTTTATTTTCCATCGCAAGGAAGAGCTTTCTCTTTTCAGCTAGCAGAGATGATAACAACAACAACCACGATGACAAGAACAAAAACAATACTACCAATAACTATCGGTTTACAGTTATTATTATTATTACTTTTATTATAATTATTTAAATAACATAAAACCTACAACATGAATTGGAGATCCAACAGCAAGGCTGCTTTCCGCCTCTTCAAGTATGTGGTCGACTTCACACACCACCTTGGCCATTCTATGAGCTACCGTTCCTTGTTTTCACTTAATAAGGAAACTGAAAGACAGGGGGAGGGTTTGTGATATAAAGCAGGCAAAGGCGGACAGTGAGAAGGACAGATAAGGGCAGCAAGTCATATTCCTGACAAAAAAAAAAAAAAAATACAAAAAAACACTGAAACTGAATATTGAATACAGTTTGCGGTCAATGGCACTGAAATTATATAGTTCAGGGAAAAATAAGCCAATCCGTGTTTTTCATGGAAAATGTTTTGTTTGAATTTAGAGATCCCACTGTATTTAGGTTGAAAATGGACTGCAGATTAAAGTGACCATATATATATATATATAAAATCATTTATTATCAAGTATTCTACCACAAGATAAAACACATGAAGGCGAAGCATACCAAGTACACAATAAAAATGATGATAATCAGCAACATAAAAGCTTTCCTACCGGTCCCGCTTTTCCTAACATCACCATAATTTAAGGCTTTTTGACTCAAAACACCCCTTTTCACAAGCCATGGCTGAGCTTTTCCTCACTGCATTGATTCCGCTCGGTAACAGTCAGACTAAAAGTCCTTCAGCCGAACATCGAGCTGCGGTAGTTATTGAAGCCACATGTATCCAGAGGATTCAAGCCCTTTTGACGGGTATTTATTGGTCCTGGAATCATTACTTGTGTTTGCCTTTGTATGCTTTCAGCTTCCAGTACTGTTTCTTCATCCAGTGTTGACTCGATGTTACGCGATGGGGTTTTTTTTTGGGGTCGATCAGCAATGAATGCATTCAGGATTATATTCAGGAGGAACGTAAAGTGCACAACAGAATGTCACAGCTGGTCTCTCGACAAAAGGACTTGCCTCTAAAATGTGGTCGGAGGATTCTGCTTCAGCAGGCTTTTTTTAATGACAAATTAATTCACTTGGACGCAATATCATTGATTTATGTGACTAACTGCATGCTACCCTAAGCTTGATAAAATGACTGATCCATAAAAGAGATTGTTGACTGTGTAGTTACCTGTAAGGGTATCCGTGATACTTCGACCTGAAAATGGAAAGCAGGAAGCTGAAGAAAAACACGACCAGTCCAAGGCCAACCAAGCAAATAACTGCAAAAGAAATAATACGCAGACACTCAAAGATTGCTGTAAATTGAGAAGACTTGGAAAGCAAAACAACTTGAACTGGACATCAGAAAACTGCGAAACCAAAATGTCCAAGATTCATCCATGAAGAACAGTAGGCCTACGGCCTCCCCTGGCGTTGACTGTTTTCTCAATATTCATGTCCTTAGCTCTTGCCCATCATCAGTCTGTTTTTGTTTTTTGTTTTTTTGCATTTCTGCAGATTACCTTCTCATGTCCTTGGTAGTCATTATTATGCTTCAACTGCACAAGAATTATCTCGTGTTTGTGTGTACACACCGTGTAGGCAAGGAAATTCATCCTTCTTAATCGGCTAATCCGGAAAGCAACACTATGGCATTTACTGTACCTAACAACAACAACGTATATTGTTAATCAGGGGTTATGATAAAGACTTAAAACCTTGAGTCAATTGATAGCGTTTGAGCTTGCAAGTTTATGTACAGTGTGTAACAGATTTTGGCGATAATTATTTCCGTGAATTATTACTGGTGTGCCGAACACCTTTCCAAGTTCTGTAACCGCATTATCTGTGGTTCTCATCGCTGTATTCTACATTTGTGGGTTGGTTACTGTGTCAAAACTATCCATCCATCCATTTTCCAATCCGCTTATCCTCACAAGGGTAGCGGGGGGTGCTGGAGCCTGTCCCAGCTGTCTTCGGGTAGTAGGCGGGGGACACCCTGAACTTGCCAGGCAATCGCATGGCACATACAGACGAACAACCATCTCACACTCACACCTAGGGATAATTTAGCGTGTCCAATCAACCTTCCATGCATGTTTTTAGAATGTGGGAGGAAACTGGAGTACCCGGAGAAAACCCACGGAGGTCTGGGGAGAACATGCAAACTCCACACAGGGAGGCCGGAGCTGGAATTGAACCGGTACATCTGCACTGTGAGATCGACGTGCTAACCACTGGATCACCGGGCCGCCCGTGTCAAAACTCGTCAATGAAAATATCAAGTCATCTTATTAAGAAGCTAAACATCATCAACAAGAGAGACATAAGATGCCTCAGCAGGATATTGTTTCTTACTAGAAACGTAAGATGTGTGTTAAAGCTGTCTTCATTATTCATCTTTATCAAAAAAAAAAACCACATGAAACATGTTGACATTTTTATTATTGTTATTTTTGTAACCACAGAGTAGAGCTCAATAAACCCAATGCCTCATGTGCCATCCGCATTTGTGATAACGATGACTGTCGCTGACAGATTAGTCTCCCTTGTAAGTTTAGACACGGAAATGCTTAACATCTGCCTGGAAATGGTAAGTGCATTCATTTCTTTCCCCCTTTTTGATTGACTGCACAATATTGTCCCTGCCAGACAATCATGAACTCAAAGATGAAGGCGGAACAAAACGAGTTTCAGTTTTCAGACCTAATAGAACAAATGAGAGTTTGAGTTGGGTGGAAACTGGCATGAAAATGGACCAAGAGTGAATGTTTATCTTTTGTCTTTTTGTTCAGCTCGTGTAAGTATTGTTTCAAATAATTTCACTCGCCCATCCCTTTATGTCGTGTATTTTTGGATTGCTAGACATGCCTATGACTGTCACCCGCGGTGATTTTGGAAAGGGTCAATTGAGTATGACTTTGATTTATTTTAGTTATGTGACCCAGGACAATACGAATGGCTAATTCAATGATAAGTCTTTAAATTGTTTCTAAATCTAAAAAAATTCAGTGTAATTGACAAATCGATGTTATTTGCAAAAAATGTACTTCATTTTTTGGGTTGGAGCATATGTGCAAGAGATGCAAGAGACTCCAAATGCGGTACGAGGAAATTTCAAAAGTTGGTCTTATTTTTGAAGACTCTCACAAGAATTATCTCGTGTTTGTGTGTACACACCGTGTAGGCAAGGAAATTCATCCTTCTTAATCGGCTAATCCGGAAAGCAACACTATGGCATTTACTGTACCTAACAACAACAACGTATATTGTTAATCAGGGGTTATGATAAAGACTTAAAACCTTGAGTCAATTGATAGCGTTTGAGCTTGCAAGTTTATGTACAGTGTGTAACAGATTTTGGCGATAATTATTTCCGTGAATTATTACTGGTGTGCCGAACACCTTTCCAAGTTCTGTAACCGCATTATCTGTGGTTCTCATCGCTGTATTCTACATTTGTGGGTTGGTTACTGTGTCAAAACTATCCATCCATCCATTTTCCAATCCGCTTATCCTCACAAGGGTAGCGGGGGGTGCTGGAGCCTGTCCCAGCTGTCTTCGGGTAGTAGGCGGGGGACACCCTGAACTTGCCAGGCAATCGCATGGCACATACAGACGAACAACCATCTCACACTCACACCTAGGGATAATTTAGCGTGTCCAATCAACCTTCCATGCATGTTTTTAGAATGTGGGAGGAAACTGGAGTACCCGGAGAAAACCCACGGAGGTCTGGGGAGAACATGCAAACTCCACACAGGGAGGCCGGAGCTGGAATTGAACCGGTACATCTGCACTGTGAGATCGACGTGCTAACCACTGGATCACCGGGCCGCCCGTGTCAAAACTCGTCAATGAAAATATCAAGTCATCTTATTAAGAAGCTAAACATCATCAACAAGAGAGACATAAGATGCCTCAGCAGGATATTGTTTCTTACTAGAAACGTAAGATGTGTGTTAAAGCTGTCTTCATTATTCATCTTTATCAAAAAAAAAAAACCACATGAAACATGTTGACATTTTTATTATTGTTATTTTTGTAACCACAGAGTAGAGCTCAATAAACCCAATGCCTCATGTGCCATCCGCATTTGTGATAACGATGACTGTCGCTGACAGATTAGTCTCCCTTGTAAGTTTAGACACGGAAATGCTTAACATCTGCCTGGAAATGGTAAGTGCATTCATTTCTTTCCCCCTTTTTGATTGACTGCACAATATTGTCCCTGCCAGACAATCATGAACTCAAAGATGAAGGCGGAACAAAACGAGTTTCAGTTTTCAGACCTAATAGAACAAATGAGAGTTTGAGTTGGGTGGAAACTGGCATGAAAATGGACCAAGAGTGAATGTTTATCTTTTGTCTTTTTGTTCAGCTCGTGTAAGTATTGTTTCAAATAATTTCACTCGCCCATCCCTTTATGTCGTGTATTTTTGGATTGCTAGACATGCCTATGACTGTCACCCGCGGTGATTTTGGAAAGGGTCAATTGAGTATGACTTTGATTTATTTTAGTTATGTGACCCAGGACAATACGAATGGCTAATTCAATGATAAGTCTTTAAATTGTTTCTAAATCTAAAAAAATTCAGTGTAATTGACAAATCGATGTTATTTGCAAAAAATGTACTTCATTTTTTGGGTTGGAGCATATGTGCAAGAGATGCAAGAGACTCCAAATGCGGTACGAGGAAATTTCAAAAGTTGGTCTTATTTTTGAAGACTCTTATTCTTGTTGGCACGGCAATCTTGGATGGAGATAATCTTCCATCTATTTTCAGATGCCTTCTGAGTTTTCTTCAACTCTTGTGTAAATCGTGGCCCTTGCCTCAGATTGTGAGCACCACGGTTAGTTTTCTCCCAGGACTTTATTTTTTCCCTTCTATCTTTAAAGTTTCCAAGTTGTATGCTGCAACTTTCACGAATGATGATATTAATGAGACTACTCTGTGCGCCTCTCCTCAAATGGCACCAAAATTGAAGCCAAATTATTTTGATATTTCTTTGATCTTGCTTCTCCACGTTGGAGAATAGCGCGGATGCCTTTTGGAATAAAAATAAAATAAAAATCAAGCAGGCTTTCATGTGCCCTTCAGTCAAGAATGCCTTAGTGGAAGGCTCCATTTATGGTTGTTGTTGTGTAAGATTGAACAATCGTTCATAGTGACCAATATTGGGCGTGTCCTTTATAAAATTCACACTGATCTGATCGAGTGTTTTGGAACGGCCAATATTTGGCATTTTATACACATTTTGACTGACCGATCAATGTCATTACAGCTGCAGGGTTTCTTACAAAGACACTAACTTGATGCTTGTGGCGCGCCACCAAATGTTAATTTTGGTGACTACTAAGAGATTTTGGTGCTCCCTGTCAAATTGTAACTGTAGTAATAACTTTTCATTGGTGCACAGAAAGCCGCTCTGCTGCTTGGGTGGTCCTTGTGTGAGTCTGCTGCTTAATACCAGTTCCGATTTCCTTTGTGGCACGATACTGCAAATAGAGTGCATTAAAGGACCGTACCACTGATTTGAGTTTGGGAATCGTTCTTAATGGTATCACGTCAAACAGTATCGATCCCCCTTGCCACTCCAGCAGATGTAATGGCCGTCTCGTCTCTGTCACAGAACACTCGGTGTTCCTGTTGTTGCCTGACATATAGTTTGCCGCATATTTCAAAGAGAACAACTCCGTTGACCCTGTTGATACCGTATTGCGAACCCTCAGAGGGAATGTCACAGACCATGTTTTGCATTGTAAACAATAGCGCAGTAGGATCCACAATGTCGCATGCGCCGATGACGACGATGCAATGCACATTCCCTATTGTCCACAGTTCTACGGTTGTTTAACTTATTTTTGTGAAACAAATATAGGTATGTATGTAACTAACTCAATGTGAGGACCTCATTTCATAACGCTTTCACTGTCTTCAAAGATACATACACCAAAGTCCCAAAGACTGCTGTATTCGTTCAGCGTTCCACCTCACTTCATCCTGCAGTGTTGGTGTTATGACTCATAAATCCACAAGTGAGGTTTTTTTCGATTGGAAGTTTTGAAAGCAGCTACATTGGCACTAAGAATCAAGTTCTGCTTGTTTGTTAATGAGTTCATGTTTTATATTCAAATCACACCTTTTTCCTTTCTACTTTCCCTCCTTGGGGCATTGCAAAGATTGGGAAATATTGGGGGGAAAAATGCTTGCAACTAGTTCTCGTGATGATCAGTAAACGGTACACAATATACGTTAAAAAAAAAAAAAAAAAAACTGCCAGGGCACTCGAGATGGAAACTAGCCAAGGGCTAAAATCTGGCACATTTACATATAAGGTTAATTAGTCTACACTGCCCTCTTTTAAATTTTGTCAATGAATACATTACATACAAAAAAAAAAATCCATACATTTAATGAGCAAATTATTTCAATAGACATATTGCCCCGTCTTGTGATTGGATCAGTTATTTATTTATGATGATTTTTATTTTTATTTTTTTGTTGCTGATCGGCAAACAGTAATCGGCCCCAAAAGGTCTTGTTGAGCCGAGTCCTCCATCTCCCAAATCTTTTCTTAAGGTGCCCGAATTCGAAAGAATATTGGTGGCTCCAGGTGTTTGAACGTGCAGACCACTTGACCAACTACAGTTAGACCATTTGTAGTAACACCTGACTAAGATGTAAAGAATGCGATGTTAGACGGCACATTGTGCCAATCCACATGAGGTTTGCCTTGATGTTGAGTGGCATGAGCGCTTTATCCCAGGAAGGATGTCAATTTCGGCGCACATCATAACACTAAGTACCATCATTATGATCCCCTGTCGCCGCAGACAACCTGTAAATGCTCCTCAAGTAACATTTACACGTTTTTAAAACTAAACATAAGCCAGTGAGCCCAAACTATAAGAGGCATCTCAGAAGACATATGTTGTATTACGTTTCGCCTGGAGTGGTTGAGAAAGCATGCAGTCATTTTAATCCATTCAGTTGAGCCCGGTGAGACAAAAAGCCGATGAAGTTAAAATATCCTAACAATTGACTTGCAAAAAAAAAAAAAGTCAGACTTAGTGGATAACATTGATTTTATCCACCACTAATACATTTTGCAAAGGACAAACTTCAAGTGAAGTTAATGACTTATTCATGCTTCGCCTCAGTTTCCACATTTTAGCCTTGCTACACGCTACCGGCCAGGGAAAAAGGATAAAAACATGATCACTAGGAACAGTAGTCTTTACTTACTTCTCCTTTTGCCGACATCACCCTTGGAGGTAGCAGCTTCATTCAGCAGCACCATCCCCATGGTGATGGCAGCATCTGGGGAATGTTTGTCAAGGAACCCGTATACTCAGTCTTACAGTATATATTGCCTGAAACTGTTGCAATCACATTAAGAGTCATGCCGATCAGATTTCCAAGATCATTGGTCACAGACACAGGTCCTGCTCAAATTTACCCGACGTACAGTACACGCAAAAACACTGACAGCTATGTCATATAAGTCCATATGCCCCATTCGAAATGTACAGTCGTTAGAGGGGAAAAAGAAAAATAACTCACAACAAACAAAAACATTTCTTTAAAACCCCAACGACTCAAAATTTTCTATACATGCTACAGGTTCTCACAATAATTTAATAGGGAATCACAAAACGTGTGTCTTCGTACAATGTGGCTGACGAGGAAGCCTCCTTGCGCAGAGAGAACCTTCTGATGACCAAACTTTCATTTCGGCGTAAACAAGCATAAGTGACAACATTTGGATGTTGATTCTGAAATAAAAAGTTGGCGTGAGTGCTCGCAAATTAAGACACAAACACAGTGTGTAGAATCGAAAACATTTGTTGATCAAATGAGCTGCCGTACACCTCGCAGGGTGTACGGCAGCTCATTTGATACTCGATGATACTCGATGTATCATTTGATACTCGATGTATGCAGAGAAGCACGTTGACTAAAGGATACTCAGAAGAAGGATGATGTGAGACTCCGCCACAAACTGAGCCTGACTGCTGCCATGGATGTAACTCTGTAAGAGAAAGGAAGGGGAGAGAGACAGTAAGGGCTCATCATTGAAGAATACAGTGGTACCTCTACTTACGAAATTAATTGGTTCTGGAAGAAATTTCTTAACTAGAAAATTTTGTAAGTACAGATGCGTTTTCCATATAAATGCCCTAATTCGTTTCAAGCTCCCGCCAGATTCAGACATAAATATTTCCTAAAGCATAAAACGGCATCAAACTATGAAACAAATGCTACAATTAGATTATTGCACAATAAAGGAGAGTTGTGCATAATGTAATGTAATGACGGTCACTGCATCCTAGTCGTTTTTCGCCCTCTTTAGTTCTCTCTCAGAAGTGGTTTTTGCCTGGTGTTTTGTCAAGAACTGATCAAAGGACGTTTGCTTTTGTCGGCTTTTAACAATCCTTCGAAAATGTCCAAGGCAAACATCAGCAGAGTGAACGATCGCCCGACTGGTGAACACTTTTCTGGGTGATTCACATTTACGTAAAACAATTGGAACGCCTCGTGGCCCGAGGGGCGAATAATGAGGACCCACCATAGACACATACCTATCTATTTGCACACATACACACATCCGGTAGAGGTCCCTCTTAGCCAATGGGATGCCAGGATGATGCTCGGTAATAGCCAATGGCAGAGCAGCTAGAAGTATGTTGCGTTCAGGAAACTCGGAGCTGCGAGTAGCAGGCCATACTGTATTTTTACCTTTCGTATCTTGAAATTTCTTTTGCAAGAAGAGGCAGTATTTTCCTGTTGAGACGTTTCGTAACTTGAACATTTTGTATGAAGAGACGTTCCTAAGTAGAGGTACCACTGTATTGAAAAATCGAGGTATTCTGCGTGAAGTTCTTGTCATTCGTGAACCCTTTAATGCACCGTGTAACCTGATAACATGTTGTCCACTGTAGTAACTGTGGTCCCTGAAAGAGTTAAATTACAACTTCATGCCAAAAAGTCTCCACTTATCATCTGGACTGTTACATTTCAAATCTATTATGGTTGTGCATAAAAACAAAGCTACCAAAAGTATGTTATCCTTTTCAATGGCCCACAAGTGGCTTGCGGGTGTTGAAGATAGCGTTGTGTTTTCCAGTTTTCAACAGCTACACATCGTTTAAGGTTCTACTACTGACCAAACAATTGTGGCTTCCACATTTGTAAAAGGTTGGGAAATTACTTTTCACATTGTTGCTGTAAAAAAAATCCGTTCAGGATATGCGGTGTTCAAAATAGACGGACGGATGGATAATGTTTCCGTTATAAATTTTCATCTCACATCTCGTAATTAGGGAACATCAATATCAGCATGCGACACTTTGTTTCTAGAAATCTCTGCCAGTGTTTACATTTTCAAATCTTTACTTTTACAACATTAATAGAAAATCACAATGTCCCATCACAGGTGAGCTATTTTTAGAAGAGGCCCACGTGCTACTCAAGTGGGCCTCGAGGGCTACCACGTTGGTGATCCCTGGTGTATAATATACTGCATGTGTTCAAAAGAGTGAGCTCAGGCTCTCTGTGTGTTTGTGAGTCATAAGAAAATTCTTGCGTGTACTGCGTAGGTGCAAAAGGGTGAAATTGTATCCCTGAGTGGGCAGCGGGTTCAATGCAGACCTACAGAAACACTTAAATATAGTATCACATTCAAGATCTTGTCAACTAATGGAGACCCCCACTGATCGTTATGTGTACTGATGGTGTACAGCTCCCTCATAAGAGCCTCACATATATTCTGCAAAAGTTCCAATATGCAGTTATTGACAAAAATCTATTTCTAGATTATACCGCATTCGTCAGAATTTAAAAGGAGTGGGAGAAAGGGACCGTATTTGCAGACAACAAGATCTCCTTCCTAGAGGCCATACAGCTGGAAACACTTGACTTCATTCCTTCATACCCCAGCATAGAAGATGAAGCACTCTGAACGGATGGTTTGCTGGCGGCCCTGTCCACTTTCACATCATTTGGGATTGTCCTCGGTAGCTGCATGTTGGAGGTGCGTCCACGAGGCTGTTTTAAATTTCAAAATCTGCTTTCTTTATTATCTTGCACCTCTGCGCTTGAGATGAATTGAACAGATTTGCGAAGCTACTACCAAATAAGTGGTCCTATGTGAAAATATAACTTGACCTGCTGAGATATTTTTTGGATTTCAGATTGGTTAAAAAAAAACACAACAAAAAGTACATTTAAAAACAAAAAGACCATTAATGAAAAGTATTATGATGACCATAATTTCCAGGCCAGTGAGCACACCCAAATTTAACTACATTGCTGATCATCTCCATGTGATGGAGGAAAGGCAGAAAGACAGACAAAGCGGTCGTCCTTTGGAAATGAGAAAACGGATGAATGAAGGTCTGAGAGTCCTTTAAGCCTCTCACGATTATTAGCGCCCAAGTTTACGGCACATCTAACGTCCGTTTCCCCACTTGACTGAGTCGGTGTTTATTTCTTTTTCTTTCAGACATGGACCAGGACGGACGGATGAATAGAAGATGACAAAGGAGGAGTAAAAAAAGGCGGACAGATATTTCTTGCTTCGCTGGAGGGAAATTAGGAATGTTCGCACTTGAAAGCAGGCATAAAACCGACAAAGGCTCAGGCCTGGAGCTGAGACTTTTGTCTTCCCCGCAGACACTGTTGTCTTGTACAAGATGGGGCTTTTGAATTGTTATCAAGATGCCTTCCTTACTCATCAACCAACAAAGCAACCCTTATTTGCACAAGAACAAAAGGTTGCTTCTGGTGGCATGACAAGAGAGGTTTGCAAGTTGCTGTTTGATTCTTCTATTATCAAGCCGCAGAGTGACGATGGAATTGTTTAAATAGCATGATATGCTCTATAATGGGTAAAGATAATTAGTTTTCCAAATGTTATGAGAGTGCTGAGAAAAGCGACTACTTCTTTGTCAATGTCTCGAGGAAATTAAAAAAAAGAAAAAGGAAAAAAAAGCCAAATGCTAAACCAGAAATCCAAATCCATTACGCACACTGCTTATCCTCCTGACTTTTTTTCAATTTCCATTTTCAATAAATTGTAATGTTGAAAAACACTCCATCAGGAAACGTGGGTTGAGCTGAACTATGTAAGTCTCGTTTGTTGAAAAATATCAAATAAAAGCTGTAGCCTGCCTTTCACACACCCATTACTAAGCTTCTAGAGTACATGCATAAATTTTTGCTTTTATATAGTGCAGCCACATCAAACACACAAAAATACAATGTCACCTGCTTCACCACTGAAATTACTGTGAGTGGGAGGAAATTCTTGTACAGTATATTTGCATGACAAGTCAGCAGCAAATCAAGACCTATTTGGCTTTTTGGCGCACTGTCACACACTGCCAAACCCCAAATTTATCATGCTACCAAAAATCGTGGTGCACAAAATATGATTTGGTTACATTTCAACATTGGGGGACAAAGAGTAGCTAACTTGTCAATTCATATTTTTACCACGCTAACCTTGATTCAAAACACACTTACACAACTTAAATGTGGAAAAATCAAGCACAGAAGAAAAACAAATCTATAAACAGAGAGAAATACAGTACCTTGAGTTGCAAGTTTTGCAAGCTTTAAAATAAGATCTTAATTTAAATCTTTGCAGCCGTAGTCTACCGAGTTTTCATCCAAACGAGTATTGCAAATAAAACCTTAACGGAAGAGCGGTGCTTGGAATGAAAAATTCCTCAATCCATGGCCGGGCACTTCCAATTAATCTGATGGATTAGAATGCAGGAATTCCATTCATTAGTGTGCGATGCCGAATGTGTGTTTCTTCCTTTGTAGTCACACATGTCTACTGTATAATAATAGCTAGTAGATAAATGCATGCTCGTGGATAGGACAGTTTAGAGACAACGTGTCATTGCAATAGAAAGCTTTGAACTGTAAAACAAAGAAAATTGCACTTGATGGGTAAAAACAAAAACACATACCATTAGCAGGCTGGAGTGGAATCTATATTCCAAAACAAATGATATATTTAAAACACATCTCATCTTGCTTGTCGATCTAATTCCATCGTATGGGATACTGTCAACTAATTCCTTTTAATATTAATGACTAGTGACATCTCGTACATTGTTAACCTTCCACAGATCCAATTATAGTGATGGATTTTTTTTTTCTCGTTAAAGACTATCAAGCCATGCCTAGGTCAAATAATTAAGTCCGCGTGATTTGAAATAATGTGAGGATATTGGGAGATGTTTTCTACTTTGTTTTTCTTTCACAACAAATTGAGGTTGTAATATTGGAGAGGTTAATACTACTTAGAGCTGTCAACATTTATCAAATCGCTTCACGTTAGGTTTGTATAAATATTTCAGTGTATCCGGGTTCCACATTTCCGGTTGGTTGGAGTAATAAAACCCGTTTGTCAACAGCATTTGAAATTGACGAGAAGAAGGAGGACATTTGTAAATTTTCCAATGGCTTTGGTAAGAGCTAATTACATGTTTTAGCGCAGGGGTGGGCAATCCTAGTCCTGGAGGGCCGCTATCCTGCATGTTTTCCATCTGTCCCTTCTCCAACACACCTGATTCAAATGATCAGATCATCAGCAAGCTCTGTCGAGGCCTGAACAATTGAATCAGGTGTGTTGCAACAGGGACAGATGGAAAACATGCAGGATAGCGGCCCTCCAGGACTGGGATTGCCCACCCCTGTTTTAGCGTGACTGATACTTCCTGTTTATCTTTCTTCCGTTGTGTAGTCGTAGTTTACAAAATATGTCTAAGGAGAATAATTATTAATTAATAGGAGTACAATTGCATTAATGGCTATGATTGTATTGTATGATTGCTTCATTAAAATTAAGGCACTATACTGAACAAATTCATATTATTGCTTCAAAGAATAAATCAATTAAAAAAAGTTCCAATTTTGGCAGCGACATTCCGACAGCATACAATGCACAAACATTTTTTTTAATTAAACTATTTTCATGGGAAGACAGACATTCAGGGACCAAAATAAAAACAATTG